GTCTACTACTAGAACAAGTTGACAAAGGCTCGCAACTCGTGTGGAAGGAGGAGCCACAATGAGTGCATGTCGAAGGACGATAGTGTCAGAATCCAGCCATCCAACTAAACGAATGGGTTGCGTTGAGCTCTATAGGCCGACGAAGCATCGACATGTAAGCCAAGACGGTTGCCGCCAGGTGGCACTCTCCTGTCGGAAAGAAGGCCCTTGATATAGTAGACCTGCTCATACGCGCTGCAAAGCTATCGACCACAACGGCGAGTAAGTGCTCAGCGTTCCGACTTTTGCCCAAGCCCGCTCATTGACCTCCTGCTGCTGGTAGCTAGTAGAGTGTTACGTACACACTCTGTGCGTAGCTGCAGATCTGAAACCTGAAAAGCAGCTGTTCACACAGTTCACACCACCGTACACTGTGCAAATACTTGTGCTAGTCGAGAAGATTACTTTGGCTATGACGGTTATGTTTCCGATTGGTAATACTGCGATGTTCACAATCTGATGTACAAGTCGAAACGACAAGAGTAGTGATGTCGCTTTATGCATGATGTTACCATGACCTCTCTTTCCATTTGGACAGCGGAAGCAACAACAAGTGGTGCTGCTACCGCCGCTTCCGTGACGACGACGAATACAGCTGGAACAACAGCAGCCAGTATCATTACTTGCAGGAGTAGCAGTAGTAGTAGTAGTAGTAGTAGTAGTAGTAGTAGTGGTACTACTACGACACTACTACTACTACTACTACTACTACTACTACTACTACTGCTACTACCAATAGCGGTAGCAATTATAGTCATGAATAGTAGTACTACTCCTGCTGCTGCTGCTACTACTACTACTACTACTACTGCTACTACTGCTACTACTGCTACTACTGCTACTACTCCTTCTGCCGCTGCTAGTACTACTGCTTCTATTGCTATGACACCGACGACGACGACAACTTCTATTGGTACTACCACTACCATTTTGTTGTTACCGTGCTTTATTCATGTTCTGTCAGCACTGCCTTAAAGCAGTCGTCATCTGGTTGTGAATAATGCTATACAGCGGGACTTTGGAACGGAAAACATTGGTACATGCGACTCTGGATCCCAAACCCGAACGCTCGAGGGAATGAGATGCCTGGAAGCCAGAGACACCAATGAGTATCAGGAACTCGACAACGCAGAAAGACAGCCTCAGATCTCGTCCCGGCCACCATAACCCATAAGCCATGAACATGGTTCGAATTTACAAGCTTTAGCGCAAGACAGACCAGAGCACAGGGAATACCGTGAATCCTTCACTTGCATCCATGTGCCGGTACAGGTCGTAGATTAGGATCAAGCTGTCGGGCAGCTGTGGCCAAGGGAAAACTGCACTCCGAAGTGCTGAACCTATATGCCGCGAAGGGTTGAGTAAACTTGTGCACGTCATAACCCGAAGTTGCACATGATCACTATCCAATTCCCCGGGCCTGTGGTCATGCTTCTGCAGCATGACTCGAAAATCGAAACTCATGAAATTCCGTCTGCAAGGCTGGCGGCACACGTGTGTGGATGTTCTCGACTGCCTGTGACCATGTAGGCGGGGAAGCGGTTGAAGGAAGGACATGAAGTTTCACGACCCAACACCTTCCTGATCCTTCCTGCACAGCTTCTCCTTACCACGAGCTCCCAACCCGAATTCAGCGTCTGCAAATGGCACAATGGTCAGGGATTGCGGGAGGCGCGGGACGACGTTCCTACTCTCCAGCTTGGGGAACGAGGGCTGAGTAGTGCTCTGTCTTTATAAAGCATTCGCTTCCCGGCCTTCATGTGCGACTTCTGCCGGATCCTCAGTCAACCATGTTGCAGTCGAGTCTTGGTGGATTACACTGCCGCTTGCAAAGTTTTAAGCTCTGTGGGTCTTTGGGTTTAGGGGTCGACTTGTGCCGGTGGATCTCCCGGCTTTTGTGGTGGACAGGCGAAGGGCCCACTTCGCAAAAGCTCCCTGAACTTTCCCACTAGAGGCACAGCTGGCAGCTAGCGGCCTAGCCCCCAAACCCTAACCGTAAAGCTCAACTGCGGCCAAGGGGGCCAGAGGTAAGTCGACTCGGTCTGGATGTCGACAAGAGTCTTCTCTATGGATTTGACATGGTCCTGGCATAACTCTGGCATTCCCGCAAACCCTAAAGTTGAACCAAGAAGTGGAAGACAACAGCAATGCAATTAAAAGCCGTACACCCCTCAAGACTCCTCCATGGTCGTCAGATGCTGTGGCTGCAGATGTGTCTCGTTCCCCTTGCCCACAGCGAAGGTCACCATCTTCTCCTTTAGAAGAGATCCAGGTTTGAGGCCGAATGCAAGAATGGGGCCTTGATACTTAGAATAGGGCTTTGGGGCCCATTATACTGTAACAAGGAACCCCCCAAATAGTATAGGTAATTATTGAGGCCCCTACATTAAACACCTGTTGCCATGCATATGCGAGGTATTAAAGCAGCAAGCACTACACCCACAGCATGACCCCCCGTGTCGGATCAGTAGAAGATGCCAGCCTGCAGGGACATGTTGCCTTGCATAGCTTTAGGGTAACACGTGGATAGTATTACTATCAAGGGCGATACTAAATCAATAGGAAGCTCCTCCATCCATCTGTGGTTGCTGACCTCAGGCTGGGACTGTCCCAGGAAGTTAAGAGGGAGGGTAGGGAGTGACTGTTTACAGAAGACAGAGAGCCCCAAACGCTGAAATCTAACCCCTGCGCTACGAACCAAGAAGCCCGGAAACCAAACCCTTGAACCCCAATGTCCTTGACACTTAACCTGGGACCCGTCCACACCTGCGCTGCGCCCACCTTCATCACTTCAATACAGGCCTAAACCCTAAACCCTAGACCCTAAACCCCTAAACCCTAAACCCAGGTCAAGGACTCCAGGGTTCGGGGCTGAGGGATCTCGGAATTATACTCCAGCGTGCTCGTCGGTGAAGATCTGGTCTGTGTCAAGCAGCGTTCATGGTTTTTTTTTTCTGGGCCTGGGATCTGCTGAAAAACAAGGGCCTCAATAATCAGAATAGGGTTTTGGGGCCCATTCTACGACAGTTATAATAAGGAACCCCCAGAATAGTATAGGTAATTATTTAGGCCCCTACATTAGAGGTTTAGGGCATAGGTTCACTTTGAAAGCAATCCAACTGGAGACGGAAGTTGGAAATTCTCACAGTGTAGGCTCCACATGCAAGGCATAGAGTCATGTAGGATACTCCTCTAAGGTTATGTATAAAAATTTTCATGAGCTGCTCGCACATTCCCAACTCCGGAGAAACGTCGCAGGTGAGGTCTCTAGTCTTGGCGTCGGGCGATAAAGGTATAGGTGCCGCTCTTCTTCGCCATGAAGTGAAACAAGCCTTCTGCCTGCATATTGAGAGGAGATGCCAAAAGGGTGCATGATAAGTACTTCAGATTTAGTAGGACCATGGATGCTCCGACTGCAAGTACAGGGTCTTCAAAGTCCTTTAGCATGCTTCCCCGTTTGGCTCCACCAAAAGCGCACCTGATCTTTCTTCTCCTCAGGCGACTTTGAAAACACGGAGCGTGAACGCAAAACTTCACCATGCACGGACTTGTAGGTCACATCCGTGGGCAAAGCGCCGCATCTGGTGCTGGGCATCTGTATTGAGCTCCAGGCAACAGCTCAAAAAGTCCACAGCACCAAAAAGCTTTCATTCAGAATTTGAAAGGCTCCAAATCCCGTATCCTACACCCCGCATGCTCTAAAATATGGACCGGCCTGAGAATAACTGCCAAGGCTCGAAAATGACGTTGCCCTTGGGGTCCGTGATGCTGAACCTTGCTTGCACATGTTGAAGCCAGAATCACACCATATAATCATACGTATAGTTAATCATACAGTACATATATATATATATATATCTATCTATTATTTATATATGTATATCTCTCTACATATCAAATAAGGCTTGCGGGGAAGGATCAAGTCCTGGGAGTTTCAGCCTAGGCTTGCCTCCGAGAGCATGTCTTTTGGGTGTCTTGGAGGCTTAGGGTTGCACTGTTGCGGTGCCGGAAGTCTGAGGACCTTAGGGTTAGAACCCGGAGATATGATATTTGTCGCTCCACATATCCATTAATCTACCCCCCCAACCGAAACTACAAGCATCTCCCACCATGCTCTTACAGGAGTTGGCGGCATGAAGCCTAACCCAGAGATGGTGGCAATTTCCTGGATGACATGACCACGCTTCACAGGACCACCGAATGTGAGTGCGTCACGATATTGAAAGTCTACACCCACACACACACACACTCTCTAGCGTCTGAGCCCTCAGCTCTACCGTGGAGGTCTCCTGCGAAGCCGGTGGCAGCAAGCAAAGCTACTTCAAGGGCTGGATCTGCCTTGGGTTCATACTCCGGGTTCACGAGTCCTGTTGGTACACACACTCATAGTCTATTCACTGAGATCACATCCGCAGTCAGAACTCTCCAGATGATCGAGATCAACAACAAACACACTACATCAATCAGCTGCGTTTTCAGACGAAAAGAAACGCAAGCAGGACGTCGCTGTTGTGCTGGTTATGCTGATATGTCATGAAAACCCTTAGGACAGGTGTGCAGGCACTCAAACAGGCACCTGCAGAACGGAAGCGTCAAGATTCAATCGTACCTCACTGGCAACAGAGCTTACACAGACAAGCCCGAGTGTCGGGAGCTGAAGCCCTTCCCCGACGGCCAGTTCTGCATCGTCACTTCTGCAACACCATGTGAATCTGCATGGTCAATATCGAACCCGCGGAAACATCATAATCATCGTCGTCATCATCCTCCTCACTAACTCTGGAGTCATCACCACGGTCCTCACAGTCCCTGTCATGTCTACCCTGGAAGTTCCTGTGCAGCAACCGGAAACGATCGAGACATGCGAATACCAAAACTGCATCCAAGAACCACGTACTTGTGTGGGACTTGCGTGGGACTGTGAATAATGCGGATACGAACACAGTTTGCAATGGAGGACCTCACCCCTGGCGAACCTCCGATGCAGAGGCGAAGAAGCCGCCGCGGATGAGGACCGGCGGGGAGTTCTCCGGGATGTCCTTTATGCTAGATCAACAGTTCTGCCTATGTTCCGAACAGGATGCTATGCCCTGCTTTTCTGGAGATGGTCTATGCTATCCACCATCCCACTCAAATCTTCTAGTTGCGACCTCAAGCATGAACCTTCGAGCGGCCTCCAAACCCTTAGCCCAAGACTCGATCGATGGATGTGCAGACGGGACTAAACCCTAAGCTCTCATGATAGCTGAACTACACATCGTAAGCACACAGGCCTTTATGCCCCAAACAAGCCCTCCACTCTCAAACCCATCTCAATTGGAGGGAGGTCGAACATCGGGGAGGGCTTAGGGAGGGCGGCTGTAAGGGTTTAGGGTTTAGAGTTTAGGGTTGACAAGGTTCAAAACCTTACTTGACAATGAAACTACTGCAACAGAATCATACCACGGCACCGAACCAGTGGTATTACCCAGGACGCCACCCTCCGCTCTGTCTCGGGCCCTTACCCCGACTTTGCCTGAAGTTCTGTGCACGAAATTTTAAGCAACTGACCCCCAAACCCTCACCCCAAAACCCTTATAGCCAATGCCCATCAACCCTAAAGTATTTGTGGCCCTTTATGGTTGCTCCCCAAACCCGGAGCCCTAAACCCAAACCGCCCAATGGAATCCCTGACAAAAGTAAAACAAACCTTGTGCAACCCCGAACTTTAGCCCAACACCACAATAAACAGTTAAGACCCCAGGTGAGACCCCATCTTAACCCGATTAAAGCTCAATCTCAAGCCCTGCTCGGGGCCTCATAAAAGAACTCATCACTCCGGCCCGGCAGTGGGAATGTCAGAAGGAGCTCTGGGGTAAAGCCCTGACTGCAAGCTGCGGGTTTTGGGTTTAAGAGTCTAGGTCCTGCGTTTCAATTCCATCGCGTCTTAAATATAGTACTGGTACTTATTAAGGCTCCTATCTTATCTTGGGGAGCTCCGGATCAGCTGCTCTACATCTGAGCTTTCGAAGATCTGGGCGGGAGCTTTCGGACTTTACGGCAGGGAGGGATGTTTTGGGGGCTTCGATCTCCGGAGTTGAGGTGATCGTCAAAGTGTAGGATGGGCCCTAAGTGACCGAATCCAGTTTGCAAGTTGATCCGACATGGATTAATCTTCAGATGCCCCTGTTCCTCTTTCGGTTCATGGGGCTGCGAAGGCACAATGCAGGCCTGGTGGCAAAGGCCCGCCGGGCTTTGGTGCAGCGCCAAGCCCCAAACTTTAATCACAACTCTTCCACGCCTTATGTCTTATGCAGTGCCCCATGCAAGTCTACGCACCTTAGACAGAATTAGACGAGCTTCGACTTTCAGGGTTTTTTCATTGAGGGTTTAAGGCTGAACGGGTTATAGGGCGGCAACCCGCAAGGGAGCCTCCATGTGCTTGTCCCACTCTTCCACGAGGCCTCCTCCAGCCTCCTCGGTCTGGCTTCTTCTTGAGGATACTGTGGAGCTTGCTGTCGAAGTCTTGACGGAAAGCCATCCGAATTGGCCCAAAGTCTTGCAAAAAGCCGACTCGTTTACCTCAGCAAACCTGAGGCTGTATTTTGGGCGGGCGAACAAGCAGATTGCGACCAATTTGACCCCACGCTCTCGCCCAGAATCTTCCAGAAGACAACAGCGAAAAGAGGAGGTAAAAGCGGAGAGACCCCAGTTGATCAAGCTCCCACTAAGCTTTACAGAACGCTTCGCGACCACCCCTGCGCATCGACGAAGAAGCGTGACACGCCAAATGCGGGTAATCACTGCAAACATTTGTGGTGAGATTGAGGAAGACTCAATTTGGGGCTTTTGCTTGCTCTGTTTGCACGATATGGCTAGCGCTTTTTGCCCAAGGCACGTCATCCTTCGCCGCCTGTGGGGCATCTTGAGCTGAGCACTGAGGGCTTAGACACCACGGACCAATTGAGCACAGGATGGTGCGTAAGGGATCGGTCGGAAGGCACAAACGGGTTTCAAACCTGGACGTTGAAGTTCTAGATGAATCTTCAGACAAAGAGCTCCCACGCTTCGGGCAACCGTTGCTTCAGACCGCAGTGCTTCGGGTTGTTCGAGTTGTGATTCATGTCGGCAGTCCAAGGGCAATCTACAGGTATCTCCGTCGAAGTTAAGGGCGTGGGGGTGAGGCTGCAGGCTGTAGAGACAACAACGAAAGACAAGTGCTGTCATTACTTATGCGGATGCAGTCGCTTGTAAGGCCAACTGCTTCAGCGATCTTACTGTAAGTCTTACTGGTGATCGCTGAAACTGGCTTGTGAGTGTTGACATATTGGCTGCGAACCTTGCCATGTTATGGCTGTGTTACTGCTGGCTCCGTTTAAGCTTTTCGAGGTTCAAGGATGAGTGGAGGCAGGATCCAGTCATTGGGCACTTCGAGTGCGAAGCCGCAGACCAAGAGAAGTTGAATGTGCAGCTCTTACATGTACGGTATTGAATCACAGTTGGACTGTCATATCGCGGAGCCATACATGTCATCTTATCTAACTGAATCCCTTCCCATCCCCAGTCCACCCTAAACCCAAAGCCCGAAACCCTAAACCTTAAATCCCTAGAAGCTCCACTCCAGAAGACCTCAAATACACCTGCACCTCAAGACTCTTACGCCCAGGGCAACCCCAAACTCGACACCCCTGGACCTCCGGTTTGGGTTTAGGGTTTCCAAGATCCACAGCACTGCATTCCTAAATCCGCAACACCCTGAAGCCTAAATCCTAAGCTCCGCGACTTCCCGAACGCTTAATCCTGAAGCCGTAAACGCACGAAGTCCTGTGGTCTTACACGCCCAAGCCCTATAGAGCCTGAAAGATTGCAATACGGACAATTAAGCGATATCACAACCTACAATTACGGCTTCCATATCCTATGAAACGCCGATAAACACACCATAAACCCGGTATAAACACCCTGTAGCACCCTTCTGGGACCCCTCCAGTACCCCTACAAAATCCCTGGAACAAGGCCTCTAAGGCATCCAGGGCATCATTTTGGCCACTTCCCGCCGGCAGCTCGAAATCCTGCAGCCAACAAAAATTTTCAGAGTCGGACATCTTTAGCCTTTTGCTGATTTAGGGTTGAGGGTTTAGGGGTTTGGGGCTTAGGGTTCGGGGTTTGGGGTCTAGGATTTGGGGAGCCTTTGTAGGGCTAAAGGCGTTCATAAGTCTTGGGACTTTGGGGCTTCATAAGGTTCAAGGACTTAGGGCTTCTTAAGACCCTGGCCTGCTCACGTCTTTCTCTGAGCCCTCAACTTGCACCCGAAGGGCCTGAACCTGCAAACTGAAAGCTGTGCTTGAACTAGGTATGTCGGAACTTCAGTACAGTCATCAGCGCCGCTAATCGAAAATGGATGTACGTCTGGAACTAATCAAGCACCAGGCTAAATCAGCCCGAGAACGTTCTGAACATCAAGGTCCGGAACCTGCTGCAGCATGAACCTCGTACCAGCCGTGAATCTCACACGGGGGCATGTAACTAGCTACACAACCAGGCACAATCCTAAGTCGTCCACCCTAGGACCTAAACCCAGCCTTTCATTCTTGCCTGTGGGCAGGCTTATCATGTTACATTACTTTACAGAATCATTTTTCTATTCTATTATGTTATATTATGATTCTAATGTATTATACTTATTAGTCGCTTGCTGCAGTCTCATCCACTTCTGTCCTGTTCGGCTCTCGCCACGCCTGCGGGGTCTCCGGCGACAACGCCTCGAAAACTGCAGGAATGGATCTATTGGCTTGCAACATCCTTGATAGCGGCCCGAAATTGGCTTGGTCGTTGGGACTCCAGTAGAATCTGAGTCAGTGCAGGCTTTGAGCTTTCGGCCTGGGCTTTCTTGTTTGTAGTGCACCTTACAAGCAATTTTCTTGGTTGAAGGGTGACATTTCGCAGATGCTCAAACCGCTGCGATGTGAGGTGTCTGGGCCATGTGCTTTGATCATCTCAACGCATTTTTGCTGGAACTCCTGCCTCTCTGAGGAACCTCTGATGAAGCTTTATAGACGAGACTTTGAACTGCAGGATAGCACCAAGTACCGAAACACGTCCCTTGCCCTCTGCCATAAGCCACAGACTCTCCAGAACTGTTCGAGCTCCCGACCACAAGGCAAGAGAAGCAGGAACGCCCGAAGCATTGCCATGTCTCACCCAAAACAGTCCGTGCTAAGACTCTTCGAGATCTACACTTTCGGAGCTTTACCACTAAGACTCCACGAACTCTGCATGCTTGAAAACCAGGGTGTTGGAAGACGAGGCAAGCCCCCTTCTTGTTTGAAGGCTCCCCACATTGGCTGGACTGGAAGTCATGAGCCGGCAGCAAGGGCACAAAGCTCTCAAGGTTCAGTATTGGACGCACGAACTTTGACGATAACAACAAACAACGAAAAAGCAACGGAAGTGGAGAAGCGAATATTAGGATCCACCAGTCCGAAGGACTGAAGATGTAGGGACCGGCAGGAATTTTGAAGTCTCCGGCGGCCCCGCAACTAATTGCCACAAAAGACAACACAACTCTCAACATGAGGACTCCCCAAACTCCATGTGCCTGGGCGAGCGCAGAACCCTAGACCGTCCTTCTCGGAAGCTCTTTTTGGGTTCCTGCCGAATGTCTTAATGCTTCGCCCCTTCACATTTGATGGGAGCGAGCGACTCGTGGAAACGGGGCCGTACAATCCTTGCTTCTCATTCCTGTAACTCTGGGGAACTGTAAGGACTAGAAGGGACTATGCGGACTAGGTGGTAAGGGATCCGGGCTTAAGGTGGTGGAAACCCTTATGATTGTGAACTCTCTAATGTCTTACTCGTCCATTTGTCCCAGGGGAACTAGAGCGACTAAAGCTTCATCTATGGGACTATATAAGGGCTCTAGTACCACCCCAAAAAAGTTAAAGGTTACTTACTCTGCTACTAAGACTTTGAGTTGAAGAGTCAGAACCTGACAAAGGTCTCAGCTTGAAGTGCTCGAACCGGAGCCGAAAAGAAGCTGACTCTGCACTCGGAAGGTCGAAGTTATCGGAAACTGATCTTCGTGCCCATTTAGGAGAGTACCTCGTGAAGTACGCTCCGAGTCTTGAAGTTGAAGTTATATAAGACTAAACCCTAAGCCCTCAACTCTAAATGAACCCCGAACTCTACACCCTAAAACCAGTTGATGTTCCATCAAACCTCAAGCCGTAAACCCTGAAAGCCTACGCAGGAAATCGGTGCGGCCACTTCCGATGTTCGCTGCACATACCAAGAGCAAGTCGGCCCTTCACATATCGCTTCCTTCGTTCTCTGGCGATCACTTAGTTGCCGAGCATCATGGGGGAACTGAAGGTGAACCTTTGGGATTATATAAAGGTTATAATACCCAAAGAGGTGAAAGGTTACCTACTCGACTACCAAGATCATGAAGGGCAGGCATGTTGCCAAGAAGACTGCAGTAGAGGTAGGTCCATCAATGACTGTATCCTGCATCAAGTAAGCGGTGGCAGGCATCGCCGCAGCGGTAGTACTAGCAGTAGTAGTAGTCGTCGTCGTAGTGGTAGTAGTAGTCGCCGGGTTGGTTGGTGACGCCAGCATTTTCTTGATCTGAGTGTGGTATTTCTCGAGTTTTGAGCTGTTTTCACTCGTTCCAAGGGTGTCGCCTCGTCTGGTTTGTCTGTGTTACGAGTTGAAGACATGCTGAATGCTGATGTTTCTGGAGTTTTGGCCTGGCTGTGCTCGATTTGGGGAAATTTAACGTTTTTGGTGGATACTGTTTTTCTGCGTTTTGGAGCCTTCCAGTTTCTACGGTTTCGAGTTGGACGCTTTTATTTCTCGAGTTTTAGCATGTTCTGGGGCGCTCTGCCTTGTCATTCTGTCTGTGTTGCCAACACGTGTTTCGTGTTTTTTGTTGTGGAGTTGTGTTGCTGTGATACGTGGATGTCGACAACGGTGATGACGATGATGATGATGATGATGTAACCAACCGTGCGCCTTCTCCTGGAACCGTAACCTAATACAAACACTTTGTAGCAGAAACCCAGACTAACAAAAGGCTTAAAGCGATAACAGTAGGTCTCCCTAGCTACTGTATAGTATAGCAGAAAGGAGAGTTTAATAAACGCGCTGACCCCGCCCCTCACCAGCCCCAAGCCGCCCCCTCCCCGAGCCAAGCCATTTTAAATCAGAACTGCCTATCACCGAAGGCCCTCCTGGGAACCCTTGTCTCACAGCAAAGCCTGTTTCACAGCAAAGCCTGCTTCACAGCAAAGCCTGTGTAACAGTAAAGCCTGTGTAGCAAAAGCCGAATGACAAACCGCGCTTCCCCCCCCTCACCAGCACCACGCCCCTCCCCCAAGCCAAGCCATTCTAAAGCAGAACTCCCTGCCACCGAAGGCCCTCCTGAGAACCTGATCTAACAGCAGAGCTTGTCTAACAGCAAAGCCTGTGTAACGGCAAAGCCAAGGCCCGAACATGAAAGATTAAGCTGAAGGCTCCAGCACGTCCGTAGCAAACAAGCAGCTGGAAACAATGTGATCCTTGACCAAATCCATGAACAAAACATGAAACAACTCGAGAAATAACAGCATCCAACTCGAAACCGTAGAAACTGGAAGGCTCCAAAACACAGAAAAACAGCTAGTATCCACCAGAAATGTGGACTTTCCCCGCATCGATCAAAACCAGGCCAATACTCGAGAAAGCACAGCGTTCAGCATGTCTAGAATCGCAACACAGAAAAGGGCGACCCCCCTGCAACGAGCAAAACTGCTCAAGACTCGACAAATGACACACACACACAGATGAAGAAAACAAACATGGCGTCACCTACCAACCCTGTACCTAGTAGTAGTAGTAGTAGTAGTAGTTGTTGTTGTTGTTGCAGGAGTAGTACAAATGGTAGAAGTGGCAGCAGCAGTAGCAGCAGCAGCAGCAGCAGCAGCAGCAGCAGTAGTACTAGAAGAGGCAGTAGCGGCAGCAACTTCGGGTTCGACAGAGCTTCATGACGGCTGACGTCATGGACGTTATTTCCAGGGGTTTAGATTCGAGGACTCAGGGTAGGACGATGCCCACAAGCTCCTGGAGACGGGGTTAGGAGGCGCAGAGCGGGAACCTCCTGTTCGCAGGCCAGCTGCGCAGCGGGGAGATAATGCCGGAAATAGAAACCCTCAATCCCTCGGTCTATGTGAGGTATGGTTTGAGGTTTGGACTCAGGCCCAAAAGCTTGCACCGCGGTATTTCGACCTGCACCCAGAAGCACACAGCCTGTGCATCTTGACCCTGGTTCGCCCGGCAACGTAAACTACTGAAAGCATCGGAGCCTACGTAGCAAAGCGAAGCTGTTCGACATAAGGTTGATTCGCTCCGTTCTTCAAGAGTTAAACTCAAACCCACAACCGGACTACATCCTATGTCTACCCAGGACCTTGCAGGAAGTTCGAACCAAGACATGGGCAAAGGTCAGAGAAGTTATGCGGCATCACCTCCCCAAAGCAGGAAACTCTTCTACTGTTCGCATTGCAATGTCCTTCGATTTTTGTGGGATGGGCTCTCGACAAGCTTGGTAAGCCCCATCTAAGGGGGTTACTATAAGGCTTTAAGGGGTACCATCACGGGATTGTGTTAGGGAGGGTTACTAGATTCACTAGATGTGCTGCCCGTTCGAGGACTGAGTTTCGGAGTTTCGCTACCCAACAAAAAGCATCTAGGAAACGACCTGCCTGGGGTTTTCGAAGTAGGCCCCTAAACCTTAAACCCTAAACACAGCTGGTTCTGTTGGCACAGTGACGCCTTGACCGAATTCTATAGGGAAAACTTGGAGCAAGATGTGATCCTTTGTGAGGCTGTGCTCCTACATCAGTATCGGTGTCTCGTTGCCATGCTCTGGTTTGGCCAGGAGGGCAGCTCCAAACGGGCCGCGAACAAACTCCTAGCACATGGGGAAGCCAGGCAAGATCTGAGACCCCCTTTCAATCTAAACTACGAAGCGCTACAACATCAAACAGCCCCTTCCATCAGGACACGCCACAACTGTCTCGCGTCTCTCTACCTGCTGGCCGCCGGAAGGTCCCACGTTTTGCGCCGAGGATTTGTCTTCAGAGGTGTGTTTGCATGTGTAACTCTCTCATCTCTCCTTCCCTAGCGCTGCCTCCTTACCTTGGTATCTCTCTGGCTCTCTCTGTCTCTCACAAAGTGTATGTATGCATGCATACATGTCTGTATATGTACATTGTATAAATGATGTGGATGTATAGCGATCACGTGCTGCAGTCTATTGTCTTATTGTTGTATGCCCCCACATCCCCGATGGGAGGGTTGAAACTTGAGCTGCCAATGATTGTGCCCTAATCCTATCCTAAACTCACCCTTCACAGGAAACCCCTGCAAACATTGAAACCTAAACCTGCGCCTCTCGAATTTTTGCGAGGGTGCCTGAGACTTGCAACCCAAGGAAGATGGATCCATGGCACACCGTCTTCTGAGAAACGAGTGCTATACACACACAGAGACACACATATACACATACACACACAGACAAAACACAATTTTATGTATATATACATACATGTGTGTGTACACGTGCAGCGATGCTTCCATGTGCACACCCAACTTGTTTTGTATCCTTCCCCCCCTTGCCCACTCTGTCTCTCTCCCTTCGGGCAACTGCGCTGCTGCCCCCTAGCCCTAACCCCAACTACGCATGCCCCCAACCCTAAACACTGGACCCACTGGACCAAACCCTGCATGCGCATGTCGTGGGCTTCCTCAGGAAGGGACGGACAACTGACTCCAGGCTCGAGAACAGGGCTGGGAGTTACAGGCGCTTGGGTGCGGAATGTCAGGGGTGAACTTTCGCAGCAAACTTTGCGACTTAATGGAGACAGATGCGGCTTCTTCAGCTCTGTGAGTATGACCCAAGAAAAACGATGTGCCAATGGCGCCTCTATCAAAGCTACACCTGGTACTCAAGGCTTGGCGTTGGATCTATGTGCCTCCGCCAAATTTCGGCTTCGGTGGCATGTTCTCAACAGCGTCGCACTTATGGAGTTTAGCGTTTAGGGTAGACTGAACAAAACCGTACAAGCCATTTGAAAGACGCGTCTCTTTAAAGGGTAATCTGTCCGAACATACGAACACCTAAACAGTTTGCATGTACGCAGTCATAGAACGGCTATGGTTAGGGCTAGCATGTACGTGCAGGCTCCATGTGCGGGCATGTCAAAACGGATTGATGCGGGAAAGAGGGACGGAGGGAGGAAACTGAAACACACTGCGTGGTGATGGTCTTCGCTGCAACCCCATCCTCTGCCTAAGCCCTTGTCCACCCGGGCCGGCTTTATTCCTGCGAGCGCAAAGCCTCTCTCAATGCTAAAGGAGGAGGCCAAGCCCAGCCCATTGGAGTGGTTGGCTCAGTGACATGGTATAGGGCCCTTCGAATCCAAGGGGGTATGGAGTTTAGGGCTGGGGTAACGCACACAATTGAGACATTCCACGGCTCCATCATGCAACCCCAAAGATCTCGAAGTCAAACTCCTAACAAGCAGGGGCCTTCATGATCAGAAGCAAGTTTTGGAGTACATTACAGTATAAGTATAATCGGGAACCATGAGGAAGTGCGATGGCAATTTATTCAGGCCCCTATACTGAATATTGGATCCTGCGGATTCCAGAGGCTTGACTTGGCTTTCCTCCTTTAAATTCTTCACGCCGGTTCACGAGGGGCGCGCTCCTGAATGGAAGAGAGACCTCACAGATGCCAGGCCCAGGAATTGCGATCAGTGCTGCGCTTCAAGCGGGTACGTCGAACAGTTAGAGCTGGACTTGTCGCTTTTTGAATAAAGGCTTCTGCGATTTGAGCGCAAGCATTCTGTGAGATTTCAGGCTTCAGGCGTTGATCTGCATTACAGCTCGGTGGTTTAAGCATTCAAGACACACAAGGTCTTGCTTGAAATTGACAGGTACTTCTGCAGCAGCTACGACGTGAAGGGAGCCTTGCTGGTAAATGCTAGGCCCTGCTAGGCAAGACTGCCGCTTGCGGTTCTTTAGGGATGTGGCAAACTGCAGCTCTCGGAAATAAACACCCGTGAAATGCAGGAAACCCGTGACCAGGGTGTACATATCATCATATCCAACAACCCTTTCGGTCTTGGCGCTGGGCAACCAGAGCCCCAAAAACCAACCGAAGCTGCCAGTGGCCCCGTCCTGGCTAACGCGAGGCAAATGTCGGCCGCGGCCGGGGCAGCTCAAGGTCGTAGACCTCGGGTTGGTGCAGCAGCAGCAGTAGCAGTAGTAATTGTTGTTGTTGTTGCAGCAGCAGCAGGAGGAAGAGGAGAAGGCAAGGTGGAGGCCATGTATGCCCCTGACTCAGTGTAACGTGTCGCTCGCCACTTGCTGAACTCCACCTTTCAACGAGCGCCTGGCAGCACGGATGCAAGCCCACGCCTGCGGAACAATTTCGGGCTTGGGCTGCTCCGGCAAAAGTTTAGGGAATGGCCGTTCCCCACTGCCTGCTTCAGGAACGCTCAAGAGCATGTCGTCGCTACAGGTGTGGGAGCAACCTTTCGGCTGGCCGGATGTCTTGGTTTCGGAGCCTTGGCTCACTCACCAGACAACATAGCCCCAACCCTGCGCACTTCACCGTAAAGCCCAAAACCTGCATCCTAGACATGCAATCCTTCACCATGTAGCCTAAGACCGAGACCCCACGGAGGAGGCCCGACATCCTGAGGAAAGTCAACTTCCCCAACACTCAAGCCCGAGAACTGTGGCCTTCCCGAGGTCAAACTCATCAGGACGCCCGGCTGCACGCGAGCGAAGACCTCAGGGCAGTCAGGAGGCTCGTATACTCATGACTCTTGCTTCGCTAAGCTTGTAGCCACGACTGCAATGAAATCCGAATTCCAGTGGTTCTCGGAGATTCTTGAAACCGACACGACGTGGTGGCGTATCTGGTAATGAATCACTTTCAATGCGTTCTCTCCTCAAAGACACAGAACGTGCAACAGTAGCCCCGCAGCTTCTGGTCGTATCCGGGACGCTCCCAAAGGAAAAGCAATCATGACAACAGCAACTGCAACAGCACCAAACGCCAGACGTGATTGTCTGGGCAAGTCATGGTTGTAGAAAATCTCCACGTTTAACAGGTCTTTCAACCTCCCATCCGTGTCTCTGAGATCATTCTCCTGAAGACAGTCGTGTGGGTTGAATCTTAACGGCTTGGGGTTCAGGGAATTGGGCGTTGGGTTCAGAAGTTCTGAGTTCTGAGCTTGGTGTTCGGGGAAACGGACCGCTTCGCAGGTAGCTTCAGCATTGAAGTGGTCGGCTAGGGATTGGTTAACTTCAACTTGATGGTCTCGGCTTCCTGAGAGGATGAAGACTGCTGACTGAAAATCCCAGCCAGCTTGGAACTCTCTGAATACCCATGGGTTAAGTTCAGGCGGTGACGTGCTTGAGGATCGACGTTTCCTGATGTTTGCTTTGCCGGTTCCTGTACAGGAAAGGCTAATATAGGGGCCTTACTAATTAGAACAGGGTTTTGGGGGTTCCTTATTCTATTAATAGTACCCCCAAACGCTATTCTAATTATTAAGGCCCCTGTATTAGTATAAAGGGTTCTTTAAGCGTCCCTCTGTGAAGCGGAGACTTGGCTCCCTGCCGGACTCCAAATCCACCCAAACCTTGGCTCCCAAAGGGGCGCAAGTTACGAAGAACCCATGGCCCCATATGGGAGTTTCCGAAAATCAGGGTACCTTATTGGAGGTCCTTATATAGCAAGGATCCTACTATTTGGGGTACTGTATTAGGGTCCCCTATTTTCGGAAACCCCACATGGTCCTGGCCTGTAGATCAGTGTGGTGTGATGTGGGGTGGTGTCATGTGTATGGGGGCGGGGCTCGAAGCCACATGCACCTCATAATTCCAGCATCATCGCTCAGATAGACCTACCGGAATACCCAATGGCGCGACGGCCTGAAGCAAGGCCATGAACATCCCAACTGGGATAGCAAGGCCAGCAGTGTTTCTCACGATGCCAAACAGCAGCACACAGAATACTGCAAAGCCTGCTAGTAATTTTCGCATGCATAACGAACCGAAGAGCAATAAAGACCACCGAGTTGACTAGTGCTCACAACATCAGCACGCGCAGAGCTAGGAACAAAGCGCCACTTGCGGCACTGGCAGCATGTTTTGCAGCAGGAGCATGTGACCGGAAGCCACACTTGCGGGCAAAAGCAATCATCATAGACACGAGACTCCAAGGACGACAAGACCAGTCAGGGTAAGTAGAAGAAAGGGTAACGACAAGACGTTTGAACCACGATCCTCTTGCATCGCTAATTAGAGCGAATATGGAAAGTGAGAAGCAACACAGGCGGAGACTCACGGCGATACGGTTTCGCGTAAACGGCGCCGCTGCTGAATCCGCTTAGACTGCAGCTTTTCGTCTTTGCGGAAGAAGACAGAAAGCTGTGTTTCCGCAAACCCCAAACTGGAGCGCCCCAGGATTACATCTACACTGCCATATATAACATTATACACACGCTGCAAGCCAAGCTGAACCAAGATTGAAATTCAGAAATCTTACAACACGCTGTGCTGCCGCAAGCATTTTTCAACGACAGCCCTGTCTAAGACAAAACACCATGAAAGGAAAGGTACGGCAAAAAGCTCTGCAAGAGAGACCATATTCAGAGTTGCGGACATAACTACAAACATACATACATTCATTCGTTCATTCCCGTACATACACATACCCAGTCATGACATGTAGAAACCTGAGAGCTCAAGAACCTGAGCCCTTCCCAGGCCCCGGCCGTACGCTTCGGTGGGCCAACGGCGCGTGCGATGTTCCGGAGCTCGGCCGTGAGGTTTTCACCTGGCTCTGGCGTTCTGCAGTGGTACTCCTGTGACCGCACCAGCTGTGATGGTAGTCGTCTACCATGTAGCAGTATAGTATAACAATGTAGTGGTAGCAATCGTGGCCGTAGTAGAGGTAGTCGTCGTAGCAGTAGCAGTAGCAGTAGCAGTAGCAGTAGCAGCAGCAGCAGCAGCAGCAGCAGCAGCAGCAGCAGCAGCAGCAGCAGCAGCAGCAGTAGTGATAGTAGTAGTAGTAGTAGTCGTCGTCGTCGTCGTCGTCGTGGTAGTAGAAGCAGCAAGAGCAGTAGTGGCAGTTCTCGTAGTACTACTAGTGCTGCTGCTGCTGCTGCTGCTGCTGCTGCTGCGATGCTGCTGCTACTACTACTCATTACTACTACTACTACTACTACTACTACTACTACTGCTACTGCTACTGCTACTGCTACTGCTACTGCTACTGCTACTGCTACTGCTACTGCTACTGCTACTAAGCCCCTGGGCTCCAGCTTGAGGGAAACAATGATGTGTGAAACCGAGGCCGCTTCTAGAAACCTGTATGCTCCGCTAGAAGGCCATGGGACTCCAAGAAAACAAGTCTGTAGGCTGCATGATGGCG